TTTCGCCTCAGAGAACAAAGTGTAGTCTGAGTTGCTACAAAATAGAACTAGAGGGAAATCATACGCATTGACAAGATTATATTCATCCTACTTAACAAAAGGGCCACTTAATTGTTTTTCAATGATAAACTGTCTAAACAATCCTGAAGGCTTGGAGGAAGTATTGCATTTACTTTGGATTTCCGGTAATCTTTCATTTAGAGCTGGAAAAAAAAAGTAACTGATATCGTTTTTGAGAAGTAGTAATTAGGTTATGGTCAAACGTAAGCTGTGTTATGTTAATACCAAACTGAGAGAAACTGAAGTGAAAAATAAAAAAATAACGAAATTCTTTTTTTTTTCTCTCTCTAAATGTGATTTCCCAGTTGAAATCCACACAAATAAGAGTCCAACTACTTAATATTTTAGGTTTTTTTTTTAAAGTTCATTGGAATTGGCGCTGATGGGAAAGAATTTCCTCATTAATGGCTTTTCAGGGCAAGAAAAAAAAAACATGAACGAGACAATAATGGGTATGGATCGCGAATTAAGATGGCAAGCGAATAATAAAATTAGACAAATAGATTAAAGTTCAAGATCAGAAAAATAGAACAGAAAGGAAACCTTCCTTTCCCAGATTTTAATCTTAGTTTATGATTGTTGCTATGAGAAGTGATCAATTACCAGTAATCGTTCCCGCTCAGTGATAACTCGTCATTTTGATAGGGTATGTTAGGAACCCGTTAGCGGTCGGCAGAGAGCTGATAAATAGCAAACCATTGTGTATTTATTTTGTGTTCCTGAACACGTATTTAGCCCTGGGAGAGATAAGGACCAATGTGCTACACTCCTTAAGAAATAAAAAGTTATTCGGTTTTTTCTGAGCTTGGGTCTATGGCTTCAGGAAGAGGGCGTGCGTGATTTTGTTAACTCACTTCTGTTCATGTTATGCGGAACTTGCTCGAAGTTGTTTGATATGCCTAACCCGATTATTACACAGATCTCATACTTAATTACGTTGATATGGACTATGATTGCTATGAAAACAGATATAGCCGGCTTTTTTTGGACTGATACCAAAATCGTTTCTCATTTACGTGAGAGCTTCCTAAATCCTCCTATTGCTTGTACGTGCGAGGAGTCAGTTGAATATTAATCCACGAACAGTAAAGGGAACTGAGCCTCTTATATGAGACTGCGAGGTAATCTTGATTTCAACTATTGTTTGTAAAGTGCAGTCTAGCGCAAAAATTTAATAATCTCAGATTTCTCATCTCGGAGACGGCATGTATTATACATCATTAACATCATAAAAGAAAATCAATTTTAACTTAATCTAGCATGGCATAATATACAGTGAGACTGATCAAGCAGCTCTTCACAGAGGTTCGCATCAAAAAGCAATAAATAGATTAAGCATGTTGTGGTAAAGATTACAGACCAGTTGAGAACAAAATAAACATACAACCTCAACTAAGTCGAAAAAAAACCTCCAAGGATTTGGGCGATGCTTTATTTCGTTACCTCAATTTTATCATGAGCCTCTTTTTCCTCTAAAAAGTATTGATCAAGTCAAGCAATTCAGAAGATGGCATTCCTGTTTAAATTGTTTTAAAACGATCTAGAAAGAATGTGATTTACTTGTTTTGATAGCTTGCCTTTCGTACCTAATAGCTCAGAAGCCTTCGTTCTTGATCCTTCTCCACAAAGATATGCAGCTTATAAGTTTATACAAATGTGACTTAAACAAACATACTCAGGACATTGTGATTATTTTTCGCGCTTAGTCTAAACATAACAGCGAGATAATTGATTTTTCATGAAAGTCAGTTAATAAAAAGCAACCAAGCTTTTATTTACTTTGGACTTCCGGGCACCATTAGAAGAAAAACGTAACTCGGGAGTTTTTTTACAACGTGAAAACAATTTGCAATACTCTAGATGTACGTGAAATAATGCATCTAACTGCGTATCGAGAGCAAATTTCATACAGAAGAAGGAAAACGTCAATTATATTCAGTACGTTTCCAAAGAAAACATTCCATGTTTACGAATGGTTTCTTCATTACTTGCTCCCTTCCTAAAATATGCAGGTAGACCCTGTTATCACCGAAATCTTAGCAAAATCTTTTGCAAAGATTAATATTTGAAATAGTTGTTTCTTAAGTCATAAAAATCAGTGTATCGTCGTACTTATCCCACTCTTGAATATGTTACTGCATTTGAGAAACAACAGAAGAATCATTCTACGGGAAGATAATTAAACGGATTTATCTTGACAACAAATTTCATTCAAATCGACAGCGTGCTCTAGCGAATAATCCTATCATCTTCAATCTTCCCAAGAATTTCTAAGAGAAAATTCCTAACTACCATTTTTGTATAGATTAGGAAGCACGAACGAACCATCGTGCCTCTGTTTATTTTCATTCCCATTAAGGCCAAGATAGCGTTGCCTGCAAGCTCGCAAGCTTATATGACAAAGTTTGTGCCGGCAATGAATATTTGCAATAGTCTTCAAAAGCCAGAAATTTTGACCACTGTTTTAGAGGCATTTTAATATTAGGTGAAGTGAGTAGAGTTTCAAACGTGAGTGCACGAAGCTTTACCTTTCCTCCTTATTTACAAAGTAACCACGGAAAAAATTTCTAGGTGTTTAGGCATCATGAGCGTGGGATGGAAAGTGTTGTGCTTTGTGAAATTTGTCACGTGCATGACGATGACTAGTCGTGGGAATAGTAACCTTATCGCTCAGTACTGTTAAGCATCATGTAATACAAACATGAAATACAAATTAATCACATGTATGCCAACATTTAAAACAATTTAGGCACTTGTTGAGTGTTTCAATCTGAAAAAGTCGAAACAAAGGGTCTGGAAGTATGCCAAGTAACCAAAAAATAAGACGTTATCGCTAAATCTTCGGAGAGCAAACATTAAGGTCACACGCGAAAAACAATGGGGAATGAAGGAAATCTGAAACCAGAAAAAGAGAATTGCCATTGATTAAGAAATTACTGAGGAGGGAAAACTAACATTGCGAAAGCAAACGTAACCTAACAAGAAGATTTCAACAACCTTATGGCCACGTAAAACCCAGTGTCTGCACATCGAGACTGTCGTAAGCTTAGCCCTCCTATTAAGACTTCAAGTTTCCAACCACTAAAACAAAACACACTGGATTATGTTTTAACTAAAACATTACCCGGCCAGAGTTCGGTATCTTTAAAAAGAAATTACCATCTTACGTTACCAACCCGCATTTTATAACCCTCTAAATACCTTAAAATAGCGCCATCACCCCCCCACGACCGCGTACAAATTGATTCAAGATGTTGGTTTTAGCTGATCCTATGATGTTTTTGAAAAATGTTATAGGTAGATTCTATTATAGATTGGTGAATTTCTTCATCATCCGTTCCTCGTGTCTCGACCTAGAATAGCCTAAGGCTTTAAGTTGTTCTTTAGTCTCCGAAGAAAACTAAAAGTATAATGTTACAGCTAAATCGTATATCAGCTTGTTTCAATCAAACTGATATTACCGCATCGTGACATTTTCGGCCCCTTAAGACAAACTTCCAATACCAGTATGGTATGGGGGTAGGCTCAGGATTTTTCTAAAAAAAAAACAAAACAAAACAAAACAAAACAAAACCCAAATTGATCCAAAAAATCCGTTACGCACGTGGGTCGGAGAACGAACTAACATTTCTGATCGAACTTTACACGTGAAATGTAAAAGTAAATTGGTCCTTCTACATGGCACTTATACCGATAACACACTTTCTCTTCTAGATTGAAAGGGTGCACTTAAAATAGGTACATGGCCATGCTTAGCACCACAGATACATATTCTCAAAATCGATTACTGACTAAATGTTATTTCCGGCTGCTGAGGCCATCAATGTGAAGAGAACGATAAAAGTTTCGATTTAACGATGATGATGAAGGGTATCGATGTGGTTTTGTAATCAAGACTAAAGAATGCGCCTTGAATGCAGGTTTACATGGCGTAATAAGTCAAGTGACAATGTAAGATTCAGTGTCATTGTCAGGTTATACACGCACATAATAAATTGTGCCTAAGTTGGTTAAAATTCGTTCGATTTCGAAACAGGATATTGCCGCTATGTTTCCGTTATTGCCAAGAACATTTTTTTTTTTTTACAATTTCATACCGAGAAGTTTTAGCGTATGTTCAAACTGGTAACTAAACATAGAGATTTTATGAATCTCATTAACAGGTAATGCGTTTTGCAGCATAAATTATTCAGATAATATTCTGCTTCTAAAAGGGTGAAAAGGGCAAAATTTTATCTAGCTTTACCGTATTCAGTAATCAATGTCTTTTTACTCAACTCTTATGGGGTGTTTTCTACGCATACTTGCTTTAAGGCAATGCCGCGCAGTACTCTTTCCTAGGACACATAAGAATAAGTACAGCTGTAAACCTATACGCCAGAGAAATAAATTGTTCCACAAATTTTGCTCCAATTTTAGTGTAAGAAAAAAGCTACGAAGCAACTGGCCAACGCTTTCTCAGTTTGTTCGAGCATCATCTTGATCTCAATAGAAAATCTAGGTTGTACAAATAGATTGCTGCAAGTGGTCTTCTCTCATGAAAGACCACGCAAGATGGAGTATGGTTACGTTTTCAAAAATGGTAAAAACGACTGAGATGTAGTCCGGTTGTAAGTGCAGGGTACTTTTGTGTTAGAGAACGTGTGTGTACATTCACCTTCATGTCAGCAATTATAGCAGGCAATTTTGCGGAAGCCACTCTTAATTCCCACAAACCTGCAGATACACAGGCCAATCGTGGTTTAGTTAAGACTCAATACGCCAGAATATTTTGGTTTCTATACGACACCTAATTTGCAAGGAATTCGGCGACCACCGAGAGTGAATGTAAATAATTGCAAAAGCCTATCATCAACAGTCATAACTATTCAATTCAGTTACAGGTGGCTACGGTTAGGCTAGTTTGCTTGTGTAAATCCCAATTTTATGTTACAATTTAACTCCTAAAGCTTGTCACCAATTTATCGCTGGCACCCTCAAGAGAAAGATCAGAGTTGGGAACTTTGCAGGCTAAACAGCATTTCACTGATGTCAATGACCCCTTTATTGATCTGCGTGAGGCTTGGATAAATCGTAGCAGGCATAAACAAGTGTCTACATTTAAGATTGATTGTTACCTGTCAGTTTCCACAGGAACCCTGTCGATCACAGCAGGCGCCTCCCAGCCAAGAAAGTATCTTATTGCACATTGCTTTCAATTCTGCCACATTCCGGATGTCCTGACCGAACAGGCTAGAAAGCAAAGAGACGACGACAAAAGACATAAGGCGCGCTATCGGAAGAACACAAATATGGCGTTTCTAATCAATCGTGTTACCCCAGAGCCTGTGCCACCCTCAGCAGACGAAGCGGGAACCGAGTTATCAGACTCGCTTGGCCCCATGAAAGAAAAGGGTTGTCTAATCAATAACAATGAGAAGGATTCTTCTGAGACAACTGATCATGGTGGTGCTAATGAATGTCAAGAGGGCCTTGACGGCCTTCCCGAAAACGATGTAATAAAAAATGGTACGAATAGGTTACAAAATGAAAGGAGAAGCTGTTCACCTCATTCTAAAAGACTTGACTCATGGAATCTGGAGGAAAATTTGTCGTCACGGCGATCTTCTGCCTGTGATCGCGTTCTTTTGTTAACTATGTGTCTCATGTCGGCAGCCGCACTGATGCTCACCTTGTTGATGATGTTTGGAGTGGTTGGACCAATGCAATGTTCCTGCTCTGGGAAAACAGGTAATGTTTCTTACCATGTTCATTCATATTATGGTTATTTTTTTTTGTAATCATTATCATAATTTTCAATCATGATTTAAAATCGAATTGGTAGGGAAATATTCCAGAATTTCCGGCTAGTTTTCCTACTCGTTATATCACGGACCGCGTAGGTTTCGATGCTTGAAATTCATAGATATCTTTGCTAAAAGGCAAACGTTACATAGATCATCGGCCGTTGCGTGCCCAAAAATGTCCTCTCTTACTAAATAATAGATTAATTGATGCCGCAGCTAAACGATTTTGAAATTGCTTTATTAGGTATTGAATCTTATTGTTGTTTGGACATGACACACGTTAAAGACAACACCGTTAATGAATTTGCTCACGCAAGAAAAATAACCCATTTGGTTTGCCCAACATTGTACATAGTCCAACTAAATCTTGTTTTGACGTATTTCCGGTGTTTGAAACGTTCCCTACGCAGATGCTTATGGGCTTTGGGTGAAGTTGAATTCAAAGAATACCGTCACTTGCGGAGGACATTTGTTCATAAAAATTCTGAAAGCTATTTTTAGACTCAAAGGAAAACATGGAGAACTTTCTGAACAACAGCATAAGAACATCGAATTGAAGAAACCCTTATCAGAGGTTTTTGAAGCGAGTATAAGTTCAATCCAAGTGTCTTAAACCTGGTTTTTGATGTCGTATGTTAAAAAAAACAAAAAAAACAAGCAAACAAAAAGAAACAAAAAAACGATGGAAAACAGAGCTTGAAAATTTGTTGACCCTTTTGTCCTCGTCAGATCATTAAAGGATTTGTCGAGAAACGTTATATGATTTAGCTATAGATTAAAGATGTCAGGAGATGAAATGTTCTGAGAGAAAAGAAAAAAAAACAAAGCAAAACCTTTCGTACACTCGGAAAGAGGCAATTGGAAGAACAGAAAGAAAGTGATAGGGTTTCGATCATTGGGACAAGGGATTGCGTGATTACATGGCTTAGGAGTATTCAAACACTTTAGGTCAATCAAATACAGACTGAGCACTTTATTTGTATTTCAAATTTCGATGGTATCAACTGTGTCTGAACATCTGATAACACCATCATCCACTTTTTCTTTCTTAAGTTTTACGAAAAGTTGTCGTCAGTAAACACCATTAACCTAACTTAAAAGCAATCATCTCCGCGGCCATTTGGAGCGTAAACAAAATAGCTTTCCATACATTCCATGAATATCTCATTTCCACAGCAACTAAAGACGACGATAATTACAAAGTCTGTGTCTTTTCTTCGTTTTTCTCTTTCTTATTAATTATGAATTGTATAGACTCAGGATACTTGTGCAAGTGTTATTACAGTTCCACAAACAGTTCGTCTTGGACCTCAAACTAGTTTTTGTAAAGAAAAAAAATTAGGAGGCAATTCAAATTTTAAGTCAATTATATTTCATAAAATGAAACATTGACAAAAAATGTAGCAATTTAAGTATGGAATAGCTGTCGAAACAAGTGCTCTATCCAATCGAGTTTCCCAGAAGGCTTTTTTATAAGATTAGCAAAGACGTATTTTTATGAAGGTATTAACCCCGGAGCTGCCTACTTAAAAGCTATTGAGCAATATCCAAAATTATATGTTCTTCTAGTATATTTGCGTTACCCAAGAATGATTCAAGTGTCTTTCTGTCGTCTTATTTCAAGGATGAAGTGAATATAAGGTCAAAAGGATCGTGAATGCTTTAATTTCTGACTTTCAAAGAATCACCCCTCCAACGAACAATATCACGTTTTGCAAATTTAGCGAAAGGCCTTACGACCTCAGTAT